TGGAAAAACAAGGGAAATAGGGAAGCCACTTAGGCGGTTACAGTAATACAGGCCAAGTATGGTGCTGGCTTGACTAGGATAATGTGGCAGGGAGTGGAGAAAGTGGCAATAAAGATATGTGATGGAGGAAGAATCAAAAGACTGTCTGCATATGTGAGAGAGCGAAAGGACTTGATGTTGAGAAATAATATGGTGTTAAGTTATTGATTTGGGGAGAATGCCTTGTGTGGGAAATGAAGCAATAGCTGAAAAAAAGAGCTCAATTTTAGACATGGCATTTGGTATTTGTGACATCTTATGTTTAATTATGCTTATGCTACTGCTTAATAGACATACTGAACTCTGTTCTGCCTCTCTCTTACATCTTAGGTTTTGACCTCAATAATTGCATAACTTTTTTTCTCAGAATCACCTTTTACCTTTTCATGCACATCTCCCAGCAAATTCTGAGCACATAGTTGATGTTTAATAAATGTTTAATAATGCGGGGCCTCCCTGGTGGCGCAAGGGGTCAAGCACAGCACTGTGAAGCTAACCGCAGCCTCTGCAGAAACAGTTCGATCCACCCAGCCAGGGAACAACCCACATGGTGCAGCAGATCTCTCCTGTCTCCCCCGCTACTCCCCTCAGCAGTGTATTTCAGTCAGTCTGCCTGTTCTGCTCCCCACTGTCTCTGGTGAATCTTCTCACCCACCCCACATCTGGCCTATATTCCAGTTCTTGTATGCATAAATAAATAAATCTATAAAAAATGTTTTATTTAATAATGATCTCATAAACATCTTTTCAACTTTACACTTATTAGTGTGTCTTCATGCAAACTATAAAATTCTAGATGACTCTAGCCTAGGTCTACAGAACCACACTTGAAGCTTAGAATAGTATAATATTTTGATTCAGTTTACTTTGCAACCTGGTCACTTTTTTTCCCTCTAGGGCTGCTTTGAAGATGCCTAGGTTGTATCCTGATTTACCATGAAAACTCAAGACACCCTGCCCTTGGGGAGTGGGGATCAATTTGATTTTCAAAATAAGCACTGGACCAGAGAACATTTCCTGATACTTTCAAACTAGAGTGGGATCTCCAAAATTGTAGTCTTCACCTACAACTTCATTCCCAACTTGTCAATAAATTTAGGAATTATTAAATGGCAGAAGTTTAATTGGCAACAATCCACAAACTTGCTTTAAGTTTGACTTCTGAAATCCAACATTTTGGATTATACTTTGTTGAAGAAAATCATTGGCATTTCTGATTTTGTGGGATCTTTTTATCTTGCTAATACTTTTGTGGTAGATGACTGGGGAGAGCTTTGGCATCCGGGGAAACTGCATGAAACCTAAGCAGCCAATTTCTTCCTAGTTGTAATTGGCCCAAACTTCCCTACCATAAAGGCCTCCTCAGGATGGCTAAGGGTAAGTATATTATTCTTTCTTGTTCACCCAAAGCAGTGCTCTCTGCTCTATACACATGAAAGTTTGAAAATTTTTAAAGGCAGGGATCTTACATCCCTATCTCCCAATGAACTTTATAGCGCTTGCTTATTCAATTGGCATTTCTTTTACATAAGGAGATGGAAACACGTTGTCTTTTACTTATGTAACAGATATACCAGGGGGTGTAATTCAGCTTTCTTCTTCCTATATTTGTTAGGTCTGTTATTGTTAATACTTTTTTAGTCTGAAACATTTTATTAGAACAAGGGATACTGCAAAGCTGCTTATATAAATCCCCTTTATCTAGAAAGTGGGGTCAATAATATTAAGATAAAAAAGATCAGCTTGCAAGATCCTCTTCTATTCATAGTCAATACTCTTATCAATTCGAAAAGAAACAGAACAAAAATTTATAGTTCTCTTCAATTCCAGTAAATTTCTGGTAATATTAACAAAAATGGGATTGAACTAAAACACTCACTTGGCAGGCTTACTGAAAAAAAGTTCAAGTTGGGCAGTTAAGATAAAATCATGACTGCACACTTGCCAAATCCACCCTCATTGACCTACTCTCAGCATTACCTCCCCACCAATAACACCTCAAATAAACAATGACTCAATCCCAAATTTAAAGTGTAGGTGCCAAAAACCCAATGCAAAATATTTTGTTAGGGCAGGTAACCAAGTTTTGGGACTGTAAGCTAGACAAGACAATTGCAATCCGCTATCTTCCCAGTGAATGGCTGATGTGTAAAAGCTGATGAGGACAAGGCAGTTTGGGAAATTGCTTTTAACAGTTAAGTCTTTGAACAACAGTCATATCAATACTAAAACACAGCAGCTCATAACCAACCACATCTCTCCCTCCCTCATTTGCCCAGGACGTTATTTTCTTGTTTCCTGCATAAGTTATCAAGTTAGTCATGTTATTTGGAAAATTAAATACAATCTAAAAATATTGTGCTGTTATTACTACATCTTCTCTTTCCACGGCAAACTGTTCTTTTTTAGGAAGAAATTCATTTTTCAAGTATCAAAAACCTTAGTCTGTTCCGCTACCTCTATTTGTGATGCTACCTGAGGGAAATGGGTAAGTTACGGTGAGATGTTTGAAAGATGTTAGGTTAAACCAAGTTTTAAATGGTTTCTTTATGCAGGATGTCTCCGATCTTTTAATATGAATATGCATTATTATAAAGCTCCAAGGGGCAAGGGGAGTAAAGTATAGAGCATGTGCAAAGCTTATTTGCTCATGGAATCCCTTTCATGGAACATGTTATGGGATTAAGGGTATCATGGAACACACTGGGAAATGTTAGTTTATGTACATTCTAATTTTTATAGGCCTGCTTGACACCTTATTCTAAGCTTGAAACATTTAGATTAGAAATAAAACTTGCAGAACATAACCAAATCACAGACATCTTCATGGAATGTTTTTCCCAAAATGTCATATAAACCTCAAAGATAGTTTCCAATTATTCAGAGTAAGATAAAAATCAAAACTCAAACACCTGAAAAATTTTATTCCTAAAGCACACTTATATCAATAATCCAATTAAAGTTTTATTTGTAAGGTATAACTTCTAAAATGGATTTCCTACATCTAAAAATGCCTGGATAAAGAACATGTAATTTAGTAAAATCTGGATTTGAATCCTGTTACTTAGCACGTATGAGACACTGAGTATAAATAACTTGGCCAAGAGCACTTTCTAATAAAGATATCTGCTTCATATGGTTGCTTTCAGGATTAGAGACCTATAATACCAAGCAAGGGTGAAGAGGTTCTCAATAAATGGTAGCTCCTGTTATCATTCCTATTTTAACTAAAGAAATGACTCTGCCACAGTGCAGTTCAAGATATTCTCCTGCAATATAGAACAACTTACCAAGAGGACATGGTTCCAAGATAGCTGGAAAGCAAGAAAATAAAATCCACACACAGATAATTTTTATATTATTGTATTTTATTACAATGTGTTGAGTGTACTAACTTAAAGGAAAAAATGTAAACAAAATGAAGGTCTAGTGAAAAATGGCACTTCAACTTTAATCTTCAACTTAGTTATTTTTAACAATCCATTTATACCATTATATGTCTCAGATTTTAAAGATCATTTCTGAATTTTAGACTGAAAAATGAATAAACAGTTAAGCAGAGGAAATGCTACTGGTTAAAAAGTTAAATCTCTCTTGGCTAGAATTAAACATTGACAGGTAACTTTCTCTATAAAGGAAAGTCTACTTTGGAGCATAAAGTTACATTTTTTGTGTAGTCCAAAACCATGTCAAGTAGAACTCATGACTTGATGAAAATAGTCTTACTCAATTACATTTGACTACTTAAAATCTTACTGAGCATGCTATTTGCTGTGTCTTACCTCCAACACAACTCTCTACTTCCTGAAACAAGTTTATTATTTAAGTTTCAAGAAGTAGTTTATAGGAAACACCAAAAGAATCAGTTGTTAGAGGTATAACCTTTTCTTCATTGTACACAGCTATTTCTAAAAATAAAGAGTATGTACTTTCTAAGAATAAAATGAGAAAACCAAAAACTGTGGTCTCTGTGCATGAACATATACACACATAGGCACGAACTTAAGTTTCCCCAAATGTGTTAGGCAGGTATAACTCAAAATTCTAACGTCAGAAAGTAAAGATAAACACTTGTTTATAAATCAGTGATACTTGCTTATATACTTTAATTAGAATACTACACCTGCAGTTAGTTCAGATGTACTTTGATTGGATCCCATTAGGAAAAAAAGACATTCAAAATAATAAGCACATTCTTCAAACAGCAGAGAATTCTCCCACTTTATTTATCTTGACTTACTGGTATTTCATAAATTTGCAAGTGGAAGATAAGCTGTTCAAAAAAGCCTTTTCATATACATAATACACAGAAATTATTTTAAAAGTCTATTCACATAATGGATTTCTTTGGTACTAATGAAAAATTGAGATACAAATAAATGACTAGAAATGAAACCATGACTAAACAAAGAGCAAAGGAACAACACTACATTTCAGGGAAAAAATCCAAATCTTACTGTTAGAAGAATAAAGTATATCTGTCATAGTATACATTATCAAATTCCCTTAAAGCAGGGATTATTTGAAGTTTTTAAATGAAAAAAAGTTCAGGATTACCTCTGTTTTTACATTCAGTAACTATCATAGCAACATCGGTTACATACAACATCTGCCTCATCTCACCAAAAAAACCCTAGGGGTTTTCTAAGTCAAACAATAAATACCAGCAATTCAATAAGCAAGCTGGAGAGGAGGAGAGATTTGAATTGGAGAGGAGGAGAGATTTTGCAGCTGAATTGTATCTCCGGTATATAGTACGGCTGCTGGTCACTCTATTTTTTCCATGCATTAGAAGAACAGGGACTGATAGTCAAAATAAAAATTCCATTGTGTAGCAAATGATAGAATTTGTAACAGCAGAAAGAGTTCCTAATGTCATAATCATCGTTATGATGCTTTACAAAGGATTTTGTGCACATGTGTGGAAAGGAGTAAAAAACAAAGGCAGGTTAAGAAAAAAGGGAATGCTGAGACTGTATTAGAATTATATTTATTTTAAAAATTGATCTGAAATCTGCCCATAAAGTATACAAAAAAAAGTCAGAGTAGACATTAGTGCAAGTTTAACCTGATAATTTATTCATGAAAAGAGCTAGTTTTGATGAGGAAAAAGTTCATCCTTTCCTTGTAAACATAAACAACAGGAGTTTTAAAGGTAATAGGCCAGAAAATGCAACAATAACTTTTATAATATAATCCTTTTCAATTAAACAGACAAATCAAGTTGAAGACACCTGTTAAAATACTTTGTAGACTGAATATTCACCAGTCTATATAATCTTGTTCCAATTGGGATTTTTGATTTTTAAAAAAACTTTTTATAAGAACTATCACATCTAGAAGTGAAGAAAATAAATTAGATCCCTCCCCCCAAGATATTATTTTACCTCTAAATCATAAAAAGCTTTGTAATTATCTTATACAAATTAACCAGTGTTCTTACAAAATTAATGTGGTTTTGGACTGATGACATTACACTGTGTTTGTGGTGAAGTACTAGGCACAAGAATATATATATCAATTAGGCATTTTCAGTCTAATTAGTCTCTAAAGTTATTTAATTCTTGGCAATATATAATAACTGGTATGCATTTTGGTACATAAGGTCTGAATTGTAGAGAACAAGAAGCTGTGTATTATAGTAACAGGTTTGTATGTGACAATTACAGTGTTGAACAAGTATCTTCTATGAACTCTGTGATTTGTTTTGCAGTTGGTCACCTGAAGTAGATCCTGCAAAGATAAAAGGAAAAAATCAACATAATTTATTTGTTGTGTATTGCCAACCTTGGAACTATCTGCTATAAAGTTTCCTAACGTGGCCATGGATAATAAACAAATAGGTATCTAAAAATCAAAGGTATATTTTATAATTAGTCTGTGACTAATTATATGAAAGAATCTCTATTCCGCCCCCCACCCCCAAATATTTTAAAGAGCAGAACAGGAGTATACTTGGCATTAGAACAAACAGGTTTCAGACTGATCATTTCTGTGACTAAATCACAGGTAGATAACTAAGAGTTTGTTACAACTCAAATCTCCAAAGCTATAAAAGACAAAGTGACAAAATATTTCCTCAGAGTCTAAAATGCCACCTTTCTTTTCACAAAGAAAGGTATAAAATAGATGGGGATAGCAAGGGTGAGGGAGAATAACAACAATGCTTAAGAAGTAATGGGTCCTATAAAATCTAGAAATTTTAAAAGCTGGTGAAATTTCCTAAGGGTCGAAAAAGGGTACAAGAAAAATAGGAAACTTACTTGCCTATGTCTTATCATGTAGTCTTTCTATTCTTGCGGACTTTATGAAACTAAGTAGGATATACTCTTATGTAAGGAGTACTTCATCTGCACTGAAGAAAAACCAGGTACTGAGCTAACACAAATTTTTGTCATACATAAATGAAAAAACATATTTATGTACTAAATATGTAACTCTAATGTATTATAAGTAAAGAGGGAGAGCAAAGACCAGAATTCTTTTTGAAAAGCTGTAGCATTGAAAAAAAATCGGCAGCTTACTGCTCGCTGTTTCTATGGAGGCACTTATTTCTTAAAACCTACCCCTTTCAAAATGCAGCCCTCTGCTGGCCTGTGTCTATGCAGGTGTTTCTTTCCTGTTTCTCTTTTCCTTAATAAACTTGCCATAAAAAAAAAAAATCCTTTGACATCTCACATAGTGATGCTGGTACAAATTTCCAGTGACAAGTGGGAAGGATTCTTGGTGCTTTGGCAGAGTGACTAGAAATTGATTGAAAATTGAAAATCTGAGTAGAAATTGATGAGTTATAATCAAAGAAACATTCACTTTGAATGTATCCAAAAAAATCACCAAGATAATAGGTAAATGGGGAAGTAAACCCAATTAAGAGACAGGTCTCCTAAAAATGGGTAATAATTTTAAGAAGAGAAAGAGAGAAACCTATAATGATAGCTACTTAAAATGAAATTTATTCAAGCTAAATGTGAGCTAAAAAAACCATGGTGCATAAAATGGAAACGAAATGTATGAAACAAACTGAAAGGATGAAGTATATATGGAATAATGAAAGTATTACAGTTCTGACACTATTGTGAGACAGAGTCATCAGGTTCTATCATAGAATCACTTACTGTACTTAGGCTCACCAAAATAATGTTATTTACTCCTAAGAAATCCAAGACACAACAAATAAAGTTACAATTCTACTTAGAAGCATCAATTTGTAAGTACAAAGTGTAGACAAATGGGTACAAGATTCACATGAATCATGTAGAAGAGTCATCTGTATTCAATATCAGAATAAATTTATTAAAAATAAGTAAATAAATAAAATCTATTTGTTGTGCCTGATCAATAGCTGATAGGCTTCAAGGGCTGGCTGTCCAAGACTTCAAACAAAGATATGCCAAAAAACTGATCAATTCAAAGAATCAGCATGGAAAGTATATACTTTGTACCTTAAGTGGTATCAAAACAAATCTTTCATATTAAAAAAAGTTTCTCTTAAAAATTTACATCTTTAAATAACTATAAGAAAGAAAATATCAAAATCAACAAACAACTATGAACCAGAGACACTCTATGGGGGGGGGGAGTTTGGGGTCAAAATAAGGGGGTTGTAATTGTATGGGGAATATAAAAAAATAAAATAAAAAAAAAAGAAATTTACATCTTTAGATTGTAATGACATTAAATATGACCTGAAACAAAAACAAAATACATCTTAACATGAAGAAAAACATTGCTTAAAGCCATGTAAAACAAACAAACAAAAAAACATATCCGTATCACATAACATACAGTCTTAAATCAACTCTGAACATAAAATTTTAGAAACTTTTGGACAGTAATAAAGTGAATCTTGGCAAAATTTTATGAGGTTCTTCAATGTTTCAATAAAATATATGATTTAGGCACAAAAAATCATAGTGTCTCAGTGATATTTTTGAAACATCTAACCTTGATTTGATTCTTCCGAATTCATGCCTTCTCCAGATGCAGCCTCTGACATTTCTTCATCATCTTCATCATCATGTAGGTCTTTTGAAATTAACTGTCTAGCTAATTTAATATTCAGTCCTTCATTGTAGTGGAGCTTCCTCTTCATTTCAAACTGTCGCTTTTTTTCTACCAGATACAAAAAATAAGAGTAGGAAGTTTTTAGTGCAAAGATGGCAATCTATAGTTTGTGTCTAATGCTGCTTTTGTGCGCAATGGCAGAGCTAAGTAGTTCTGAAAGAGACTATAAGTTCACAAAACCTTAAGTATTTACTTCCAGGCCCTTTACAGAAAGTGTGCCAACTTCTGCTTTACATGGCTCAAATAAAGACAAATGAGTCATTTGTAGTTATACTTGTGAAGAACATTTAAAGATACAGGAAAATTCTCCAGAAATAAGTGAATGGGGAAAAAAAGCAAGATATACCACCACACACACATAACACAAATATAGAAAATGTACAAAGGCTGCAAGCATATATGTACACACAGAAAAACAACTCAATAACTAAAAGTGGTTAATTTTGGGTCACGAAACTATGATCCATGTTTTCGCATTTTCTATTTAGAAAAAAATTCCTTAAAATTTTGTATTACCCATGATTTAAAACATTGCTGGCTAAAAACATAGCATCATCCCCAGAGTAACTGTAAGAAAAATCTGTTAGAAGGAATAGTTAAGCAGTTACAGACTATTCTTTCACTTATAATCTTCCCCACAGAATCAAAGTTAGTAGCAAACTAACATAACTGATCATATTTTACTACTAAATAGCATTTTAAATATCTGTTTATGAAGTAGTTTTGTTTATGAAGTATAAGACTTGAAAATTTCTTAGACCAATGCATTAAAAAACAAAAAGGGGCTCAGCATAAAATTGCCAGTTGTTTATGTCAAAGTATTAAACTTACTCAACCAGTTTTATTATGATAGTCATAAAATTACATTTACAGTTCATGTCACTACTGATCAATGACTTTTCAGCCTCTGTTAGGAATGGGAGAAGGAAGTTCTCAGATATCAGATTATAAGCATTTGTTTCAAACTACTAGGACCTTGCCAGGCACCTTTCTTCTCTACTCATAAATTATTTTTGTGATTTATTTTATACTTTGAGAGTACCGTAATGTAATGGGAAGTAAAATAAAAAAATAAAAATAAAAAAAAAAGACCATTCATAAAAAGACAAAATCCTCATGACTTTTTAGGGCTGGCTTTCAAGTATTCAGATGATTTAAGGCTAATATTAATAAACAACAAAAAAATGGTTCTATTTCCAATACCATATAAGTTTACTAAAAAGTCAACACTTTTTCCTCATTACAAAGTAATACATGTTCATGGTAAAATTTTAAAAACTCAATTTCTTCACTCAGAAATTACCATAGCATTTTATGATTCTAGATTTTTTTCCTAAAAATGTATTTTTGTATCAGTGACTCATATGTTGTTGTATATGATTGTTTTTCCGCTGACTATATAGTTAGGATGACTGTGTAAGTCTCTGTTCAAGAAGTGCCAGTTCACGCATATTGTCTGATGGAACTGTAGTAATGACCCTTTCTTTCACTCCATGACTTTTTAAAAGTAACAACCAGCATTTAAAGAAAACAAAACAAAACAGGACTGTATCACATATAGTAAAGGTACGTAGCATTTTGTGAAATTCTTTTTTGTAATTCTATGTATACATGTATACTGAATGGGACTTTTGATATTGGTGAAAAATATTTGAAAAATATTGGAATAAATCTTAGAAATTGAATTGCTACATTAAAGGGTGTCATATTATTTTAAAACTTTTGGCTCATATATTGCCATACTGATATGTATATAAGTATGTAAGTAACCTATTTCTCCATTCACACCAGAAATTTTTATCTTTGTTGTTTGAAAGGAAAGTATCATGATGCTGTTTTAATTTGTAGTTCCTTTTTCCTAAGAGTTGATATTATAGTACTTCTCTCTTGTGAATTATATTCATAGTTTAAGAAAATGATTTATTTTTATTTCTAGTAGATACTGAATTTGTGGTTTTGCTTTTTTTAAAAAAAAGATTTATTTATTTATTTTACATACATACATACATACATACATACATACATACATACATACATACAAACACTGGGTACAGTCAGAAGCACAGGAGGGTGAGAGAATTCACCAGAGCCAGAGTGGGGAGCAGAGCAGGCAGAAGGACCGAAGTACACTGCTGAGTGGAGCAGCGGGCAGCAGGAGAGGTCTGCATGCCATGTGGGACCCTACTCCAGTGGCAGGAGGAGGGAGCAGCCAGGGATTGAACCGGCGCTGCAGAGGCTGCGGGCTGCAGGCTGCGGGCTGCTGGTTGCTTCGCAACCCAGCGCTCAACCACTGCACCGTCAGGGAGGCCCTGTGGTTTTGCTTTTTATAGATAATTATAGAATACTCTAAAATTATTAATTTAAAAACATGCATTTTTATTCATTTCACAGAAAGCTGCTAATACAAGAAATCTCAACCTTCTGGAGTAGTTGTATTCATTTACTTATAATTCTTACATGGAGAACAATATAATGTAGAGAACAATACAAGGATATTCACGTTTGAGGCACAGCTCTAGTAATAAACCATTATCCATGTGAACTTGACAAGTTAATTATCCTTTTTATATTTGCTTTTATTAAAATATAATGGAGAATGTATCTATTATTTTAACTTATTAAAAGTTAGTATTTACTGGGCAGTTACAATATGCTAGAATTATTGTGAAGTACTTCAAATTTTTATCTCTCTTAATATTTAACCAATGACTCTTAATACTTTATAGTTCCCAATTTAGAAATGAAGAAACTGAGGTTCCAAAAAATTAAGCAAATTTGACATACAAACTTAGATCTGTCTTACTCCATTGTCAACATCTTAATTGTAATGCTATCAGTTATAAGATAATCTTTTCCAAGAATTTCTGTCAATAAGCAAGGTTTGCAGACATGCAATTTGTCTGAATTCATGAACTGAATTTGTGAAACTGTAAGTTATCAAATGGTTCTCCCTACTGGCAAATTCATGGAATTACAATTTGAGGGAAAATTTCCTTACAGAAATACTGACAACACATAGGTTAATATATCTTCTGTTCTCAAATATGCCGTCAGGTTTTTAAAGAATAATAAAGAAACAATTTCTATTTTAAACCTTTTCTCAAGGGCCTCTTGGGATATAATTTGGGAAAATAAGTCAGAAAGTCATGGAGGGTAGAAAAGATTTAATGTAATACAACTTGAGATTATACTATATATGAAATTTCTCTCTTGAAGGACAATTAGGTTCTGACCATCATAATTTTGTTGAGCAAATTATAATCTGAAAATGAAAGAAAGGTAAGATTCCTGACAGTTAGCAAAAAAACTGAAACTTTAGTTCTAAAGTTTCTGAATTTCTGGATGTTTTTACGTATTTTTTTTTTAAAGATTTATTTATCCATGCGTACAAGAGCTGGCATACAGGCCAGAGGTGCGGCGGGGTGTGTGTGTGTGAGAGAGGATTCATCATAGACAGAGTGGGGAACAGAACAGGCAGATTGACCGAAGTACACTGCTGAGGGGAGTAGCAGGCGGGTCAGGAGAGGTCTGCTGTGCCATGTGGGTTGCTCCCCTGGTTGGGGATTGAACTTGTGCTGCAGTGGCTGCGGATTGCTTCATAGGTTATATCTTAACCCCTTGCATCACCAGGGAGGCCCTTTACATCTATCTTTTGCTAATGCAACTAGCAGCCTGTTTTGTACGTATGACAATAAATCCTTGAGCCAAACAAAAAATTAAATAAAAAAACAGTGTAAATGTTTAAAAAAAAAAAAAGTTAGTTTCTGGATTTCTTTATAGTACAGGTAGTACTCATATTTGAAGGTTTTCAAGTATATATACAATACTATCCTTTTCTTTTTTGTGAGGGTATGTGTTCTTTTCCTGCACCTGTTTACCTATACATAGGCTTGGTTTTTTCTTTTTAAAAGAGCTGGAAACTACACCAACAATTTTTTTTCTTGTGCTTATACATTCACACAGTTCAGAAAGTATAAAAAGCAACAGATGGAATATCTTCCTTCTGTCCTCATCTTACCATAGATAACCACTGTTACTTATACAAACAGAAACAATGAGTAGGTACCAATGCTTTAACCAAGTAACTGTATAAGCTACAAGAGTTTCTTCCAACCCTGTTGAGAAGATTATCTTTAGCTCCTTTCCCCATTATGCTGCTTTCACTCTATTCTTGGTTCATCTATAAGTTTTACACTCTCTTAAAATAAAAAAGCACAAGCAATTTGAAAATTACCTCTTATTTGCTATCTCTTTAAGACCATCCAAACATTCAGTGACTCTAACAGCATTAATTTAATAAGTATTTATTGGATTTACTCTATTCCAGGCCCTAAAAAGGTAAAAAGGTACAAAGGTACAGTTATAATTACTTTAAAGATGGTAGTGTTTTCCAAAGTCATGAAATCAGGGTTGGAAGAAGAGCTGTTATACAATAAATCCACAGAAATACAACGAATTCTAAAAATGCTGCTCCATAATCTCCCACCATTCACTTCCCAAAGAGGAAAATCTCATGACAATCTTCCAAATAGTGGTTTTATTTTACCACAAATTGTTAGAAAAATATTGAAAGTAGTAAACAAACCACCTTGTTCTTCAGGTGAGAGGTCATTATCCTCATCTTCACTGCTTTCTTGTTCATGAACCCGATACTTTAGCTCTGAGCCTTCGGCAGCAGCTAATCTATAAAACAATCATTTACAGAGAAAGAAACACTGATATTCTTGAATTACTGAATGTCTTATTTAACTTTTGAGTCTCATAAAAACATCTGAAAATGATTAATATGCTAACTATAACCTGATGAGGAATGGGTGTAGAAACCAAAAAGCAACAAGCATGGAGGATGACAGAAATCAAAGAACAAAGGAATAGTGCTTTTGTTTATGAATTCACTTATTTTTGCCTTTCTCACCTCTATTTTTAAAATCTAGGTGGCAGGATATTAAAAACAAAACAAAACAAAAAACCACACAGGCAATTGACACAGGGACTCTATGTACCAGGCTATGGTACTCTTTCTGCTACTTGCATACCTTGGCTTTAATCTAGAAACAAGACTAGATAAGGTGCTGTGAAATATTCAGATAAATTTAGTATAAATTTTTAAAATTTATGCTTCAGTAAAATGTTTTCAACTTTGCACAATTAAAAATAGTGTAAGTGAAAATTCCTTATAGATGTCAGTACTTACTTCTTAGCTAAGACATCTGGGGTAAGGACTTCAGTGGCTTCTGAATCACTCACTGCCTCTTCATCATCACCTATCATACTGGGGATGACAAGCACATTATAATTAATATCTGAACTATAATTTTTCAAGCAGAAAAACAGAAAAATAATTCTATAGACTTAATTAAAATATCAACATATTTATAGTTCTACTGTTTTCTCTGAAGTTTCATTTTAGGTTCTACTCAATGTAAGTATTTAAAAGCATACTATCAATCAAGAAACACTTCAAAATAATTTTAAGAAAACATTACTACAACCATAAAAATCAATATTGAAAACTCAGATCACATGGAAAAAAAAAACAAAAATACTTCAATTAGTCTTCCCAGTAGGAAGGAACTTAAAAAACAAACAAACAAAAAAAAACAAATCCATTGCCTGCTTTTAGAATATATATTTGTCTATCAACCTAAAGTTACCACAATAAAGTCAAGTAAAATACCAAAATCACATGCTAAATGTGCTAACCATACTCAGGAAGTTTTTCCCTCTACCTGCAAATGAAACCTTTGCTTCCCACTTCACTGCCAAAATGGATCTTTAATTCTCAAGACACTGAAAGTTCTGTTAAGCCAAACCCAGCTATATATTAAAAATTGCTGCATAACACCTTTCCTGGTTAGCTAAGGGGACAAGTTAAATAACTGCTATAGATTAGAAGATGCTGTTTTTTCCAAGAGAAGTTGAAATAAAGTTATTTACATTATTGGGTATAATTAAGCAGTAGGGTAAAATAAATAATCTATCAATTTGTAGAACTGTTCTACAGAAACTTCTGTAAAATTTACAGATGAATTATATGTGTTGTTTATATAAGTAATAATTTAGGTTGTATAATATCTTTCTATAAAAACATCTTCTGTTAAATAAACTCTTTTAAAAAGCTGAGCACAGGTATCTGTACATACACACACACACATGCACACGTGATACATATATCTTCAATAACTTGGGGACCAAGTAACTTTGCAACTCTCATGCTGAGACTTAACCCCTTGTGCCACCAGGGAGGCTCAATAACCATGTCTTTGAATGGGTTAAAAAAAAGTATTACCATCGATGAAGTTCTCATTTTCTGAGAAGTCCCTGATTTTTACTTAGGAAGCAAATAAGCCCAATCCTCATCTTCCTATCTATAAACAGATTTAAGGAAGGTGAAAGTCACTAATCTGTGTGCATCAAACAGCAGCTAGGGGTAACATCACTGAGCTACAACCAGTAAACAATTTACTGTGATAATTACAATACATAAAATATATTCCATAATTTTATTTTTTTAAAAATTTATTTTTATTAACTTATGCATACAAGAACTGGGGTGTAGGCCAGAGGTGCAGGGGGTGAGAGGATTCATCAGAGACAGAGCGGGGAGCAGAACAGGCATATCTACTAAAATACACTGGTGAGGGGAGCAGTGGGCGAAACAGGAGGTCAGCTGCACCATGTGGGTCAGCTCCATGGCCAGGGATTGAACTCATGCTGCAATGATAGCTTGATAGTGTTGAGACTTTAACCCCTGCGCCACTGGGAAGGCCCCAATTCCATAATTTTAAAGCCATATGTTACCACACAAATAGGTACATTTGGGTTATTAGTGTTCCAGTAATAAATATAAAATAAAATACAAATTCAAATTGGCTGTTATCCAGAGGCTTTTATCAGCTGCAAAATGGAAAAACAAGTCAAAACAAGAATGATGACTATAAATTATTACCTATGATAAGGAGTGCTAGGTTCATCTATTTTCATTAAGCCATAGTCTTTGTCAGCTGGATGGTATGTTGCCAGGATGTTCATTTCATCCCACTTCTGGGATTTTTTGCTAAAATTAAAAAGAAATAAATTTTTTCTCAAAGAAGTAAAAGATTAAAAATGTACACATCTAAAATTCACAAATATCAAATCCCACATTTCAAACTTCTATTTGAAGTTTGGTAATTGCTAACTTTACATATACTTTCTTGAAATAGAGATTGAGTAAGGGCAAAAGCCATGTCATTACAATAAAATGCTAGTAAATATTTTATAGAATACTTGGTGCCCACATATTAAACATTTATTATTCAGAATCTTCAAGCATTGAAAACACTAATTATACATGGACTATGGAATTAATAATAGCAAAAATGGATATTTATACACTGCCTGATCTCAGTAATCAAGGATTTTTGATCTTATACACACTGACAATTTGACCAAAAAAAAAAAAAAAAAAAAAGAGTATTGCTTTGGTTATTTTTCTTAAAGATAACCATATAATCAAAAGACTTAGACCCTAACACCAAAGGGGACACCTCATTAAATTCGGACACCACTAAGTAAGTACAGTTTAAGCTGAAAATAATAGTTCATTTTTTTTTTAACCTAGAAAAATAAGGGTTTGCTAAAAAAAAAAAAAAAAATGCTGTATTCATATCACCTGGGATAAATCTACTTAGGAAGAGAATTGCTTTTTAACTGCTTTATGAACACCTATCAATATCCATTCCACAAAATATATGCACAACTGCAAAGGTGTTCAATAATTAAATACCCTAATTACAAATCCTTATCTATTCCCTAAAAAGGGTAACAAACATGTCTCTGGCACACAATTTGTGACTTGGTTATGTATTTGAAAATAAAACTACTTTGAAGAGAATCAGTGTAGAGTTTACAGATTCAAATAATCTTTCTGCATTTGGTCCATTGTGGAGAGGTGTCACTATGAATATTTTTAATTTTCCTAACTCTACCAATATCCAGAGATCCTGAAGTGCTCTTGAAGAATGATATACTTAAATTTTAACATCATATTCTCTTCTCCTTGAGTTTCCTAAAGATTTACAAGTGCCCACTCATGGCAGGTGAGTTGATTTTTATGTTCTCTTGCTTTCTACCCTAAAGGACCCACAATATCATACTAAGCACTTCTTTTCCCCTTCATATTTTTATTATGGTAAAATAAACACATAAAGTTCACCATTTTAAAGTTTTTAATTCTGTAGCATTAAGTTCATTCACATTGTTATGCAATAATCCATCTACAAAACTTTTTTTTATCATCCCCATCTGAAACTGTAGTCACTGAACAACTTCCCCATCTAGACCCTGGCACCTACAATTCTAATTTCTGTCTCTATGAATGTGACCCTTCTAGGGACCTACTCAGGTAAATGAACTCATACAGTATTTGTCCTTTTGTAACTGGCTTATTTCACTTAATGTCTTCAAGTTTCATCTGTGTTGAGGCATTTTAAAATTCCCTTCCTTTTAAAATATGAGTAATATTCAATTGCAGACTCTTTTTTTTTTTTTTTTAAAGATTTATTTATTTATTTATACAAGCACTGGGTACAGTCAGAAGTGCAGGAGGGTGAGAGAATTCACCAGAGCCAGAGCAGGGAGCAGAGCAGGCAGAAGGACCGAAGTACACTGCTGAGGGGAGCAGCGGGTGGCAGGAGAGGTCTGCGCGCCAGCAGACTAAGTCTTTTAAACATAATTTCCTTTCAAAGAGATTTACTGTTTATTTTATTAAGGGGCAAAGGTTGCCCAGATGAATGAATATACAGGTGACTGGGACTGTAATTTCCACCCTCCCCCACCCTGCCAAAACAGCCAGAAGTTGCTTAATGTCCCTTCACTATCAAACAATCAGAATCTTAAAAGATTATAAGAAGTTAAATATCAAGATATATTGGTCATTAAGACTTTTTCTTTAAAGAATTGCTTTATTTGTTTTTTCATTCATCATGGAACTCAGCTGAATTTTCAATTACTTAAATTTAAAATATCAGTAATAATAAAAACCTCATTTGATTGAACTATCAAAAGATTGTGCGAAAGGAACTTGCTTTCCATTATTGTATTCCTTGGGCGCTCACTTTCTATTTATCACAGCAATAGCTGGTATTAAGGCAGAAAAACAAAAACCCACTTAAAAAAGAGAGAGACACGTATAAGATTCAAGTTCCAGTTACCCTTTCAGGACAACAACTCCAATACACATGTTTTCTAGCAGTATATTTGCATGAAAATATATAATAAAAGAGTTTTAGTATAACTTTCTTATTATATAGCTTGCTGAGAGAAATATTTATAAAATCAAATTCTAAAAGCATCATACAAATGTTTTTAATGATTCACAATTTTTTTTTAAATAATTAATTTTTTTAAATTTATTTATGCATAAAGAGCTGGGGTGTAGGCCAGAGGTGTAGGGGGTTAGAGGATTCACCAGAGACAGAGTGGGGAGCAGAACAGGCAGATCTACTGAAATACACTGCTGAGGGGAGCAGTGGAGAGACAGGAGAGGCCTGCTGTGCCATGTGGGGTAGCTTCCTGGCTGGGGATTGAATTCCTGTTGCAATGGCTGGTCTCATGCTGCAGTGGCTGGTGATAGCTTGATAGTGCTGAAACTTAACCCTGTACACCACCAGGTAGGCCCACAGAAGGAAATTTTTTTTTTCTAAAAGATTTTTATTTTTTTATTTATTTATTTATTTATTTATACAAACACTGGATAGAGTCAGAAGCACGGGAGGGTGAGAGAATTCACCAGAGCCAGAGCAGGGAGCAGAGCAGGCAGAAGGACCGAAGCACACTGCTGAGGGGAGCAGCGAGCTGCAGGAGAGGTCTGTGCGCCATGTGGGACCCTCCTCTGGTGGCCGGGGAGCAGCCAGGGATCCAACCGAACCGGCGCTGCAGAGGCTGCGGGCAGCTTCGCAACCCAGCGCTCAACCACTGCGCCACCGGGGAGGCCCACAGAAGGAATTTTTCTAAAAAGTTATCCCTTCTATTTGACTAGAGTTTTAGACATTTTATTTTGCTAAGTAGTTCTATTACCTACAAATTTCTGTAAATTTAGAAAGCAAATGATTAAGTCTGCTCATGGTCATATTCTACATAAGGAAATGTACACTGAAAAAGAGATACACTTCTAAGGAATTTAGATAGCAGAAAAGATTGAGCAGCTTTTAATTAGAATAATGAAAGAAATGTATACAAGTTTTAAGAGAAGTAGATTAATTTTGTGAAAAACGCAAAGGGAAGCCCATGAAACCCAAAGTAAAAGCCTCTGAAATGACAACCAAGAGTTAAGCCTGAGTCAGAAAAGAAAAATAAACGTAAAAGTTTCATAAAAACTGCATTGTTTTATTAAAATTTCCTATTAAATACAAGAAAACTAGCCCATTTCTATTCACACAAAGTTCAAAAGCAGGTAAAAGTAAAGTATGCCGAGAGATGTATATTGAGTTTGATTAGCTAAAAGTCAGGACAGTGGTTAAGGGAGAGGAGGGGATTGTGATTGAAAGGGGCCGGGAACATTTCTGAGGTGATGGAAACATTTTTTTTTTCTTACCCAGAATGGTGGTTATAAAAGTATTTGCTTTATAATAATTTCTTAAGCTTTAAAATTACATTTAGACACTCTTCTGTATGTTACATTACAATATTAAAAAATAAACAAATGATGATTAATTGCTTTGCTCCTAATCTCAAAATAAAACAAGTTATTCCTTAAATGATGTTAGTATTATTGTATTAAAAATGACAATTTATCATCATTACTGCTTAAGATGAGAAGACTGAAAGTGGACTGTCAGGGTTTAAAAGGTATTTCTAATGGGGGTGAGGGTGGGACCTGTAAATCTGTTTGAATAAATGGTAGATGAAAAGAACTACAGGATAAAAGGAGATATCATGTTTTCCTAAAAAATAAAAAGAAATTTTAACAATCACAATCCTAGCACCCTAAAACATCCACAATTCTGGTTTTTGCATATTCTTTTCACTATGTGTAATGTAGAAGGAAAAAATAGATAAGCTATCAGTATAAATAGGGAGCTAGCAGTACATACATTTTATCATAAGCCACTTGTACTTTCTAGTCTTTACCTATTTAACTACCGCAAAATAGCCAATGATAAACAATTTACCTAATGTAAGATATTTAGAGTGAATTCAAGGTTTTCCTACTTAAAATAAAGCAGAAATAAACATATTTGTGCATCTTCTATTCAATCACACACAAAAATTTGCTAGGATAGGCATATCTGGGTTAACAATAACAAAAGCCTTATATTCACTCTATGTTTCCATATAGCTTTATTGAAAGAGAGGACTATATGTGATGTCCCTAGTAATTACCAAAACTTTGCCAAGATTGGATATTTGTGTGTGATTTTTCACCTTGAGCAAGAATAAACTGATATACTTGTTCTTTTTGCTTATTACCTAATAAATAATACGAAAGTGCTTGCTTTTTATTTTTTTGTATGAATTATGCTTATATTCTTTGCCTATCAGAAACCTTATAAATTTGAGTTCTTTTTACTACAATGTAATGAATATCCATATAAATGCAAAGAACTCAAATTCATTACAGGAGATTTAAACATTACATAAAGTATAAACCACATTATATATAACCCCAATTTTTCCTAGTTTGCCTTTTAGTCTACTTTTTTATAAACAGAATTAAAGTTCTATATAATCAAAGCTTCACCCTGCTTCCTCAAGACAATACTAAGAGAAAAAGAAATCCTTAGAATTATTCAGAGCAAGAGAAGTTAATAATATCTTACCAAAACATGAATTTTAAATAAGGGCATAAAACAATAGGCTACAAAGAATGTTGGGAATTCTTAGATGGAAAATAGTGAAGAACAAACTGTCAGCAGAGGATACTGGATAAGGAAATTAGTATCGCTACTAGTGTTTTGATAGAAGTAACAGTAGGAGTAATAAGGTACTACGAGTGAACCTAAATTTAATGCCCACACTGATTAATTGTGATCATTCTTTGGGTTATATCCACTTACAAAAAATAAGGGTGTCAACTCTCTTATCTATCCATCCATCCATCCATGGGGGCAGGTCTGCTGGAAAAGTGAAAGCACCCGTTGGTTTCAGGCTCTCTTCCTCCCCAGGCCCCCTTGGGTGACTGGTTTCCCTGCAGTCTAATGTGGTCCAGATAGTCACCACTTCTCACTTTCACTTTGATGCCATCTCAAAGAGCTATTACTTCTTGTTGCTTATAACTTACTTATTTGGTAGTTTCAGCTGTACTTAAGAGTGGGAAGAAGGATTTTGCTTCAAGGTGTTAAAACTTTAATTGCACATTTCAATAAATGTTCTTTCTTTAAATGAAGATTAAACTTATATAGGATGACAAAGTACAAGACTTTGAAGTATGACACAATAAGTGAACAATTTAAGACTTAACAATAAAAGCAATTAGTCAAAAAGTCACTTTAGGAAAACTTTACTCAGTGAATTTTTGACTATATGCCATATTCTTTTACAGGTAGAAAAACAGCTGAAGCATGCTTACATAAAATTATATTAAAAGAAATTTAATTCAGGCACAATTTTTTTCAAGCAGAATTTGTCAATGTGATCTAAGACTACTATAGAATTTAAAATGAGCATAATATTGACTTCTAGTATATTATATAGAACTCACTGAAATGAGGGACAAATAAGATCTCTATATTTATTTCTATGAAAGTAACACTAACATTTGAGGATGTGGTACTGAGTTAGACACTTTACAATTTATTAATTAATTTAATGAGTATATTATGGAGGAATATAATGACTAACTCACTGGAAGTCAGAGTAGCAAGCAGGATGAACCCAAGTAATCTGGCCTCAAATTCACTATTAAAGATTTCTCATAAGATAAGCTTTAATAATATTTAATATCACATTTTCAACAATTACAAATATACATTTTGCTCATTTTAATATCTCAGAAAACAATATACTTAAAGCAGATGGCAATATAGATTAAATAAGTTTTTTTCTTTCTTTCTTAGTGGTACATAAATCATGGTACACCTTATAATCGACATCTTGCCTTTTTTTTTTTTTTTTTTTTTTTTGTGGGACCCTCGCAGGTGGTCGGGGATCGAACTGGCACTGCACAGGCTGTGGGCAGCCTCCAACCCAGCGCTCAACCACTGTGCCACCAGGGGAGGCCCACGATGTCTTGCTTTTATGAAATACAAATATCTACTCACTAGATCTGTTACATTAGACCTTCATGAGGTGTACACTACATTCAGTATCAACAAAGGCATTCTGTCTCTCAAAGACACGTACAGAGCAGACTAGAGTGAATTTTGAGTTGCCCCAATGCACAAGTTCCCAGGAGAGGTTAAATTAAGGTGATGCTTGCTTTATCTTCTTGTTTCAACTTTCACACTGTTTAGTAAACAATGTATTGCTCTTCTGCTTTTTTGTTGGTGAACTCACTGATTAAAATGGTTTCCAAGTATCATGAGGAAGAGCAGACTAGTGTTCCTAAGCACAAAAAAGCTGTGACACATCTTAGAGAAAATGTTTGTTAGATAAATTTCATTCAGGCATGAGTTACAGTACTGTTGGCCATGTGCTCAACATTAATCAACAATATAGATTAAATAAGGTGTCTTTAAACAAACAAAAATAAAATAAGGTTATGATGAAAATGTTGTGACGAGAATTTGCAGGAACCTAACTGCAACCCAACCTAGGAGTAATGGTTCAGTATTTACTAATTCGGGGTTTGCTTGATCACTTCATAGAACATAACAACAAGTATGGCTTACATTCCTTGTCATTATCACATAAATATGAAATTCTTTTGCCTTATACTCTTCCAGTATTTAAAGTTTTACCATTACACTATACGTAGTTCCTGAATTTTAAGGGCATTGTAACGGAAATGATATTTATTTTTATTTATTTATTTTTAAGATTTATTTATGCATGCATACAAGAACTGGGGTACAGGCCAGAGGTGTGGAAGGTGAGAGGGTTCACCAGAGACAGAGTGGGGAACAGAACAGGCAGATTGACTGAAATACACTGCTGAGGGGAGCGGTGGGCGAGACAGGAGAGGTCTGCTGCGCCATGTGGGTAGCTCTCTAGCTGGGGATTGAACTCGTGCTGCAGTGGCTGCAGATAGCTTTATAGGTTGTGTCTCAACCCTTTGAGCCACCAGGGAGGCCCAACTATTTATTTTTAATTCTTTTTATATAAAGGAGTATCCTAGTTGTAATTAAAATTAAACATTACAAAAGGTTGTTTCAAATGTGCGCAATGCCTTTATGTGCTCAACTCATAAAGTTGCTAATACTGTGACAAAGGTAATACTGGGTTGTCCTGAAAGTCACAATGCGTTTTTGACTTTTCCAACAACCCAATATTTGTAAATAGTCCCCCCTTATCTGTGGGAGATATACTCCAAGCCATCTCAGTGCATGCCTGAAACCCCAGATCGTACCGAACTGATATATACTATGCTTTCCCCTACATGTACAATAATTTTAATTTATAAATTAGGCACAACAAGAGATTAACAATAAAAATTAAATGAACAATTCTAACAATATACTGTAATAAGTTATGTAAATGTGGTATCTCTCAAAATATTTTATGGTGGATAATACTGACCGTGAGTAACTGAAAACTCAGAAAACAGAATGTTGGATAAGGAGGAACTACTGTATTGCACTACCAAGAGAATTATTTTCTTTGCTTCAAAGTCATGTAACAGTGATCATAAACAAGCCCAATCCTTTTTATTACTTTCAACCAAACATCATGAACTTCAATAGGCTTGGTAGCTCCTTTTGGGATTATAACCCTCCAACTAAACAAGTCAATCAAAGTCACTCATGTCCCAAAAGGCCCCTCTTATGTGAACAGCTCTTACAAAGGAGCAGTCATTTATATAGGTGAGTCAGTCCAGAATAGTGACTTTTGAGACAGAAAGACCTGGAGGTAAACCCCAGCTAATTACTGAGAGAAGTAAACCCATACAATTGGACTACAGGAAGTTATGGCACATTGAAGTTAAGAATAAATTAAGGCAGCAGAGAAATACAATAATAAATCACTTAGCCAAACAAAAGGAAGCTCCCACTGGTGAATAGCTAAATTACACAAATACCATTGAGAACCACATTTCTGCTGTTAAATATCCTGACATTACCGACTTAGTTTTTGTTTTTTAAATTATCTTAAGTTTTCCTACTATAGCTAAGTTCTGGTGAGATGCTGTTTTGTTAATCCCTACACAACCAGTGGCCCTGTCCACCCCACTCCTTTCCCATTTGAAGCAGCTTACCCCAAATAGAGGTTGGAAAATGTATTAAAGAGTCGAGGAAGTGTGGGGGTGTTGCTAGACAAACTAAGGCCCCTCCCCACCTCAAAAAGCCACAATTCTAAGCGGTTATCCTACTTAATTTTCTTCAAGGTAGCACAAACCCGCATAAAACATCACCACCACCAAATAGTAGTCTCCTTTACAGTCCTGAATCGATCCTTTAAACAGGTGTGCCCTAGTTCCAATATTCTAAATTTCATGAACATCCCCATTTTAGTTTTATAACTTCACAGGTTTCCATGACAACTTTAAGTTACTTTCAGAATGTAGATCCTATTATTTTTAACATCTTTTAACACCCAAGCTCCTCAGCACTTCTAACCCAGTGGTTTACTTTACACTCGATATACTGTACTTCATTTTTTTCCCATTGAGCTCCTTGACTCCTTTTCTACCTCATTCTTTTTAAAAGGCGGGTATACTGTTCCATAATACAAACGTTCCATAATTAGTATTTCCCCACACTTACTGATGAACCTTGGATTGTAGAGATAACTGACGAACCAGGGCTTAGGGCAGGATGCTTTTGACAGTTCACGTTAAAAAGAAATGAGTGCGGAAGATCAATTAAGAGAAACGAAGAAATGGTCTCTTTTTTGCTAGGGCCTCTTAAAGATTAGTTCATAAAGGGCTCCCGAGCCACGAGAATACACTTTCATTTTTGAAGAATTTTAGAAAAGTTTGAGTTAAGGAATAATATAAGCTTCACAGGTGAAGCTCTGAAACTTCAATTCTATTCTTTAAGGTTGCCAAGCCCCCAAAGTTCATGATGCTACTTAAAACAAAACAAAACAAAACAAAAAGCCTATGTGCGTATACACTTTAAAAAAAAAAACACACACACAAAACAAAAACCCTGATAAACGTCATAGCTCCTGCCTTCTTTCACATCACTCCACCCCTTCGCCTGGCCGGAGAGGGAGACCCGAGCGGCGCGGGAGTCGCTTCCCGGCAGCCGCCCCGCGCTCCGAGCCGGGGTCGGAAACGGCGGGTCCGGAGGGCGAGGCCGCCCGGGCCGGGAAGGAGGGGCTCCCTCGGGCGGCCCGGGCGGGGAGCGGCGGACCCTCCCGGCTCTCACCTCAGCTCTTCGTCGACGCTCTTGCCGGGCTGCTCGGCCGCGGGCACCACAGACGTAGTCGTGGAGCTCTTGTTCTTCAGGATCCCCTTGATGGGCCGGTGCGAGGCCGTCGAGGCCGCCATTGCCCGCCGCTCCGGCGGTTGGCTCAGCGTCGCTGCGGGGTGCCGGGTCCAGGAAGGAAAGGACGCGAGCAGACACCCGCCAGGCAGCCGCGGAGCCCGCCCCGGGCTGAAGAGGCTGCGCCTGCTGTCGCGGAGACGGATGCCGGCGTCGTTGTCACGACACAACGACCGCGACGCCACAGCTGACGCCGCGCGACCGGCGGCCCTTCGCACGTCCTCGGCCACCCGCACTTTATCCGCGGCCCGCGAGGAGAAGCCGGCCTAGTGCCCCAGCGCGGGCGCGACGCCGACGCCAAAGTCAAGCGGGCCCGCCCTCTCGCGATATCTAGGGCGGGGCGGGGGCGGGGCGAGAACAAAGCCAACCTCCCGGCCCCGCCCCTGCCGCTCCTTTCGGCCGGCCCGCCCCGCCCCTGCGCTGGCTGGTGTGGCCGGCTGGGAACCCTGGCGTGGTCCCAGAACCTTCCTGGAGATTCCTGGAGGTCTTCTGCACAGTCATAGATCTCCCCAGGCACCCTGACTCCCACCACCTCCTGAGGGTCATATTGTTATTTGTGTAGTTTATAGATCGGAAAATCGAGGCTTAAAGGTTACAACATTCCCCAAGATGTTAGTTGACTTTTAGAGAAATATGTCCCTTTTCCACTTAACCCGCATAAAAATTCAACTCTATGATATCATGGAATATCGGCCTTGGAATGGTACTTAGAGGCCTGTTGTGAAATCATAGAATATTAACTTTATGAACTCATAGAATATTATCCATATTGAAATAGGCTTTTACCATGCGAGAAGCTGAAGGACGCAGAGGAAACATTACCTGAGCGCTACAGCCACACAAGCTGTCCACAGCATGTGGTCAGAGAACTGGAAACTTCTGGCTTCTAACCTGGTGCTTCGCCCTTTTACCATAGTCCATGTATTGGTAATCGCTCGCAAGGTATCACTGGCAGGAGTTTCTAGAATTGTGGTTTATCTCCTCCCCTGCTCCCCCCAAAAATCTAGGAAATTAATTTAAGGTATCCACCAGTCCAACACTGGGAGAAATAGGCCAGAAACCTTGGAGCTATGTAGGTCTTTGTAAGAAGAGACCCAAAGATGAAAAACAAACGCTTCACACACATTTTCTCCCCAGCTTATCCCATGCCTGGATGTGAATGAAAGAACTCAGAGAGAAGAGGCAGAGCTTGAGGCTCTAGGTGTCAGGATATGTGGGGGTCCAGTTTGGGTATATTGCAAGGAGTAATGGATTCTCTGGAGTACAGGAAAGGCCAGAAGTTTGAAGCCCTGGAAACAATCTCAGCACCGTGCTATATCCAAAGTCAAGCTGGGACCAGAAGAGGGAGTGCAGTCCAGTCCAACTGTACAACTTTTCTCCAAGCAATTCCAGTACCAGGAGTTGCAGAGATGGAAAATACGGAGGTCCAGGGATGGAGCAATCTGTTATGGACTGGATTGTGTTCCCTTCAAAATAAATATGTTGCAGCCCTAACCCTTTATCCTTTATACCTCACAATATCACCTTTTTTTTTTTTTGAAATAGGGTTATTACAGATATAATTTGTTAATATGAGGTCATACTGGAGTAGGATGGGCTCCTAATGTTATATGACTGTATGCCTTATAAGAAGATGGTCATGTGATGATAAGGGACTGTAGTAATGCAGCTACCAGCCAAGGAACACCTGGGGCTATTCAAATCTGAGAGAAGCATGAACAGATTCTTTGCCAGAACTCTCAGAAGGAATCAACCCTGCTGACATCTTGATTTTGGATGCCCAGCCCCCAGAACAGTGAAACATTAAATTTCTGTTGCTTAAAGCGGCCCAGTTTGTGGTACTTTCTTATGGCAACCCTATACTCCCCATTCCTTCCCACTTCTACCCACAGTTCCCAACTCCCTCATCACCAGGCACTTTCCCATGACCCTTTCCAGGCCACCTTTCCTGTGACAGGCCAGAGCAGACTAGTTTACCCAGAACTACCACCTTTAGCTGCTCAACCTCCTGTGGACTTAATAGATGACTTGGTGTGAAAGGAACTTGTCAGTCCCACCACATAGCTATCCACCCAGGTTCTCCTCCAGTAATCCTAGTGGTCAGAAGCTTGCTCCTCCCAGTGCAGCTCATTTTATCTTTGGAAAGCTCTGATTCAGAATATTCTTCCTTACTGTTCATTTAAAAATCAGTGCATTTTATTGTATGGTATATAATAATTTTTATTGTATATAAGTTTGGAGGTAGGATCATTGCAGATATAACATATACTTCAGTAAAGGTTGCTTAGGAAAAAGAAAAAAAAAAGACTAGATTGAGCTAATACCTGGTTTCCAGCAACATCTATTGGTGTAGCAGTGTGGGTAAAAGAATGGGGGTGGGGGACATGCCCTATTCTATTTTACCCAGGTGGCAGTAATCTCATTCAAGTCCCCTGCTTCTAGGCCCCAAATCTCATCTCCCTTTGAACTATGCTACTCATGAACAAGCTCAGGGTTCCTGCAAACTGTTCTGTTTTTATTGCCTGACCCTTAGCCTTGAGCTGAGCTCCTAGCATGTGGGGCCCCAGTAAAGGCATGGCTGCTGAGTGGAGATAATGGAGGGAAGTGCACAGGAAGGGCAGAAGGGCAACAATTTTGCCTGTCAGAGTTGCATGTGTCCCCTAGGGATTTCTCTAGGGCCTTCTGCTGCCGCTCTTGGCCCCCACTCTGTTCCTACCCAGAGGTCCCCTGCTGCCCTCCCAGCCTGAGCCAGGACTACTCACTGGATCTGACATTATGCCCTGACTAGTCCTGCCCATCTCCTGGGACAGAGAGGAAGCTTTCATTGAAGGGGAAATAGGATGGTTGCCTACCTTCCTGAGTCTACAACAGGACCCACACCTGTATTGCCTCTCCTGTCCTGTCAGCAGAAGACTAGGCCAGGGGTGGTAATCATGTTCCAAAGGAAATATGCAAAACTTCCCTTCATGTTCTAAATTATTGGGCAGATTTGCTTTGTTCCTGCTTGGGCCTGGCAGTCACCACCCTGAATCTTAACTATGAGTCCTTAATTAAGCAAAGCCTTGCTTTAAGACCCTCTAATGAAAAGGGCTACAACAGTATGACATAACATGTTTTATTACAGTTAATAAAATAAAAACCATTGGAACAGCAAGTGATGAAAAGTTCTCTGAAGAACCTTGAAAAAAATGTTACCTTCATCAAAATTTGAACTTTTGCCTCTTGTATTATTTCTGCCACTCCTAGCCCCACTAAGAGTGAATGCAAGTGAAGAGGACCTTCTGAATATTAAAAAATAATAATGAGGGGCACCCCTGGTGGCCTAGGGGTTAAGTCTCAGTGCGATCACCACTATGGCCTGCATTTGATCCATGACCAGGGAGCTGACCCACATGGCTCAGCAGACCTCTCCTGTCTTGCCCACTACTCCCCTCAGCAGTGTATTTCAGTAGATCTGCCAGTTCTGCTCCCCACTCTGTCTCTGGTAAGTCCTCCCACCCCCTATAACTCTGGTCTACACTCCACTTCTTCTATGCCAAAAAAAAAAAAGTAGTAATGTAATATTAATTTGACTGCAAGGCTGTGAGTTTCAGTACAGGTTCCCTTATTTTAGAATAATTGAACCACTTTATTCTTCAGGGTGGCCCAAAGATTTCCAAATGCCTCAGTGTATGTCCATAAGAGAGCTCTCTTTCTCTGCCTCCTATGACATCTGCTCTTGTGGGAAGTCATCTGGACCAAACAGCCAAAACACTGAATTGTCTGTATTTATGTTACATTTCCTGTGTGTCAAGGGTCTGGCTTCCAAGAGACGGATTGTGGATGGAATTTTCCATTCTGGTTTCAGTTTGTGTAGATAGCTGTTGAGCTCAAGGCATGTCATATGTTTAAAAATATATACATGTCTAAGGATTATTTGACAATTATTTCTGCTTCCTTTCTAAAGCTTCATCAAGGTTGCCTGATGTGATGCTACCTCTACAGAGGAGGACAGGGGACAATTTTAATATTGTCTCCTCAGTCACATAGTAAACCCACTATGTGACTGAGACAGTTATTTACTGGAATAAGCTACTGAAGCCAATACCACCTGGTTTCTCACCAAGAACCGAATTCCCAAACTAAAAAGGACTTCCGCAGCTGACCCCATCCAGCCTACCAAGGTCATCAACCGGGATTCGAGGAGCAGAGAAGTGAATAGTAGAACCTCTGGAAAAAATATTCAAAGGTTGTGACCTAACAGCTAAGGAGTCAGCAGCACGGGAGTCTTTGTTTGCCAAGAATAGCACATTGTTCTTTTTCTTTTCAGGTAATCCCTCCCTGAGGCAAGAAAATCAGAGATTTTGTAGTACATGGTAGAAATTCATGGTAGTCACAACAAAATACAAAAAGAATCAAAAAGAGAAAAGAAAGTCAAGGACAAAGATTAATTTTCTGTTAAAAATTCCTGATGTGCAATTGTGGCACTCTCCACTGTCCCCTTCTTTCCAAAGCTCTCTACCAAAAGGATTCCTTAGCCTCACCAATAAAACCTCCAAATTGCCCAAAATACTTTTCTGAGGAGATTCAGAACATATACACAGCTGTTGGGTATACAAAGGTTTCATTAGTTCCTGAAAGGTTCCCAACCCTTTTTAAACTATTTAAATTGAGGGACTCTGGAGAAGTACTTGCTTTTTTCAAAAACTATAAAACAAAAAAAAAAAAAAAGAAAGAGAGAGAGAGAGAAAGAAAAAGAAGGAAAGAAAGAAAGAAAGAGAAAGAGAGAAAGAGAGAGAGAAACAAAGAGATAAAGAAAGAGAGAAAGAAGACTAAGGAAGCTAGGATAAGTAGTGTGAGGAGTCTTGGAATGGTAAGTAGGATATGTGAATTATTTTCTTGGCTAAGCGACACATTCATCTTGTGCCTGCTAGAATTCACTCAGTTTTTTGTGACTGTAAATTTTCTATAAGTCTACTGGCCTGGTTTGTAAATTATTGCAAGGAGCAAGTAAGCAGTGCCATACGTTATAATTTTATTGTGCTAGTTTTGCTAAATTCTATTGCATTTCATTATTCTATGAACTCATCATGGACTAAGGATTATAGACTTTAAATCAGAATATATGTGACGTTAATATACACAATTCATGGAAAACCCAAATACATTTTGAAGTCTATATAGTTATTGTTTGCAATGGGAAGATGTTTTACTTTAGTTGTGTTTATATTCACTTGCATTTGTTCTAGTTCGAAACTTCTCAAACATC